AACCGAAGGATAAATAAAGGATAAATATATATGTATTTACTGTAAATTATGTTGCAAATGTAATAAAAATATAGGAATAATGCTTAAAATTTATTCAGAACTTTACAGTTTGTACAAAACTAGTTATAAGATTATTTGCACCTCATTATGATAAAAACAAGATTTCGATATTGCGAGCTGCATAGTTCAAAAATTGCATTTTAATAATATATATATACAACATTATTTCATACTGCAACTGAATATTCTGTAATACAAAATGTAAAATTCGTATTTTTTCGAAAAAAAATACGTTTTGAATGCGTTGTGAAAATTGAATAAAAACAAGATTTCGATATTTGAGGTGTATAGTTCAAAAATTGCATTTTACTTATATTTATACAACATTATTTTATACTGAACTGTATATTCTATAATACAAAATTCAAAATCGTATTTTTCGAAAAAGAATGCGTTTTTGAATGCATAATTTTGAATGAATAATTATTATTTTTTTTGTTGGCAACACTTTGACTTGACTGTCCCTCCATCTTCAAACTTAACCACCAATCAAAAATATATTTGTCATATTTTAAAAATTTCAATTGTTTATTCAAGTCAAACCAAAAAAATTGCAGTAACAAATACAATTAATAAAAAACAGTATTATAAATTTAGCAATTGCATTGGAAGTCGATGAGGAAGAGAAGTCGAAGTTTCAACTTCCAGCGGCAGCAAGGGCGAAAAGAAAAGATTCGAAGTAAAAAAGGTTAGGAAAAAAAAAAATATCTATTACATACTTATATAGTATTAATTATAATATTACCTTTGTTTGCAGTGGAATGCTGTGGCTTTATGGGCTTGGGGTTAGTATTCACACTTTCATAATTATAAATATATTTAGCACCTGCCAACTTTGACAGGGAACTAGAATTTTACCTGACATTTCTATATTATAAGTTATTTTATATATCTATTATCCCTTACAGACATAGTCGTGGATAATTGTGCTATCTGCCGAAACCACATTATGGATTTGTGTATAGAATGTCAAGCAAATCAAGCGTCTGCAACGAGTGAAGAATGTACAGTCGCTTGGGGAGTTTGCAACGTAATATATATACAATCATTAATATTTTATATATATATAAATATATATATACATATATATATATATATATATATATATATATATATGTTGCATACTCATGAGTTAATTTCTGTTACAGCATGCTTTCCATTTTCATTGTATATCAAGATGGTTAAAGACGAGACAGGTTTGTCCTTTGGACAACAGAGAGTGGGAATTCCAAAAGTAAGTAACCATGATAAATGATAATAAATAGCCAGAATCAAACATTCGCTTTACCTTCCTTGATTATTTGCAATACAATTTTATTGCCATTGATCACATTTTATTTTTATGTAACCACATAAGTTATTTTTATATTGTTATAAATTGTGATAATATAATAACTAATATTGATTTTAATTTTTAGGTATGGGCATTAATACATAGAAGTCATGTCTTGTAACAACCTGCGAGAATAAATTTTTAATACAATTTGAGTTTTACTTTTTCATATAAAAATACATGTACACCTTTAGAAATATACATTGACTTACTTTCAAAAATTGTTTGTTGTAATTTCAGCAAATAAATTTAGCAAGAACTTGCTCAATCTTATTTTTATATTTATAAATATAAATGGACTTACCTCAAAGAATGTTTCTTGTATTTCCACTAATAACAGTTTTGCCTTTTTTATATAAAAGCACATGTACACCTTTAGAAATATACATTTACTTTCAAAAATTCTTCGTTGTAATTTTAGCAAATGAATTTAGCAATAACACTCAAGATTTATTGGCACATTTTTTTTATATTTATGAATTTAAATTGACTCACCTTAAAGTATGTTTTTTGTAATTCCAGTATTAACTTCTATGAAGTTATTGGCACAAAATATTTCAATAATCTTTATAAATGTAAATAAACTCTTCTTATTTTTTTTACTGCAATACAAACAAATGAAATTAGCAAAAACTTTCATTAAGAATTATTGTTTATATATAATATATATAAATATAATTCAGTTAATAAAGTTAGTAATAACTTCTATTAAGAGTTATCAGCACAAAATATTATTATTATACTTATAAATATAATTTAACTCTTGTTTTTTCTTGTAATTCCAGCAAATGAAATGAGCAATAACTTGTACTAAGATTTATTTAAAATTTGGCTTACTTTAAAGTTTGTTAAACATCTGTTAACAAAATTAGCATCAACTCTACTAAAATTTATCACCATAAAATATTCCTGTTATTATATGTATTTAAAATATAAAATGACTTACCTTAAAGGCGGTTTCTTGTAAATATTATTCTTATTATCTTTATCACTTCAAAAAAAAATATTTCTTGTAATTCAAACAAATTAGGATTAACTTCTATTAAGATTTATTGGCATAAAATATTCTTATTATTATCACATTCATGAATTAAATGTTATAAGGGCATATTACATAAGTCACAAAAATATTCAACTTTTATACACATGTATTTAAGTTTGTCCCAACTTAATGTAAATCTTAGCATCCTTTTACATTTTGTTCACTTCTAATACCAATTAATTTATTTATGAACACATTTAGAGTCTCGCTGGATGTACGTACAACCACATATCCAATGGTATTTTAATAACACACAAAATTATTATAAATTGGCAGTGTTAAAATTGCCATGAACACAACTTAATATTAACTAAATTTTGTCAGTAAATGTCTAAAATTAAATATTGTAGATGCCAACAAAAAATGGTACAAAAAATCCTCTGCTTTAGTTTTTTTTACAAATTTATTCTAAAAACATTATCTAATGTTTTTTACAATTTACACAGTAAATCATCACTTGTTTCATATCATAATCAAAGTCACAATACTATTAGTACTATATTTATAAATCCAATTTATGTCGAAGTGAACTTTATTAGAAATGTGTATATATGAGTACCTACAATTAATAAATTTATATTCTTCAATTTTGATTTTTAAGGAAGTTATCTATTTCGATCAATAAATATTTTACTAATATTTACAACAAAACTAAATATAAAAAATATATCACTATAAACAAAATAAACTTAGCCATTGTAGGAATTCATTTAAATCTTCAATTATATACAAAGTGAAAATATATACACAAGTTTACATACATTATTTTTCCTCATAATAAATACAAATACAAATCGATTTTCTCTCAGAATTAATTTTATCACATCGTTATGAAAACATTTATGGTGCAAGAAGGGATATCTGCACTAAATGAATGATATAAATCATTCAATGAGACTTTTTTTAGTATTGCAGATATTTTTCGCATGCATATGATGCATATAGTACATATATAACATTAATGCATGCATAACATACATATTACATTCATATATTTTACCAACGATTTGTGGATCTTGATACATTTCAAATATAAATATGCAAATTAAAAAATTTGATAATCTTTAGTATAAGTCATTATTATTATAATTAACAACAACAAAATCATTTCGAATTCTCAAAAAGAAACAGAACTGCAGAATAATTTAGAATAAAATGAATGGATTTTGCATTCAGGGGCGTCCATTAATCACGAAATTGCCAAAAAAAATCACGATTAATAACGTGGGACAGGAGGGGGGGGGTATACTAAGATATCACGTGTATTAATTTCTTACCGGAATTTTTTTAAAAAAAAGTCCGAACAATTTCCAAAAGAAAAAAAAAACTATGTTTGGTGGGGGAGAGGGTGAGGGTAATTTTGAATATCACCACGTGTCCTCAAAGGGAAGGGGGTACCACTGGATTTTTTTCAGAAATCCAAACATTTTCCAAAAAGAATCAAATATTTAAAAAAAATTTCATGATGTTTAGTAGGGAAGGGGAGGATTTGATTTTGAATATTACCAAGGGGAAAGCGGATATCACCTGTATTTAATTTTTGCCTATTTTTTTAAAAAAATCCAAACATTTTTCAAAAAAAAACAAAAAAAAATAATTTTTAAATATATAATTTTGAAAATCACCACGTATCACAAAGAGGGAAAGGGGTGTTACGTGTATTTATTTTTTACCGGAATTTTTTATTTAAATTCAAACATTTCCCCAAAAAAATGAAGTAAATTCAAATTTTTTCACGTAACTAAAAATACACGTAATGTTTGTAGAGGGAGGGGGGTGGGGTAATTTTGAATATGCCTAAGGGAAAAGGGGGTATTATCACGTGTATTTATTATTTACCGGATTTTTTTAAAAAAATCCAAACATTTTCTAAAAAAAATCTGAAATTTTCAAATTTTTCACAGAACATTTGGTTGGGTAGAGGAGGAAGGCGGGTAATTTTCAAAAAAAAAAAATCAAAAATTTACAACTTTGAATATCTCCACGTATGATCAAAGGGGAAGGGGGTATCACGTGTATTTATTTTTACCGGATTTTTTTTAAGAAATTCCAACATTTTCAAAAAAAATCTAAAATTTTCGAATTTTTTCACATATCGTTTGGTTGGATAGTGTGGGGGAGTTAATTTTCAAAAAAAAAATTAAAAATTTACAACTTTGAATATTTCCACGTAACATTAAAGGGGAAGGGGGTATATCACGTGTATTTATTTTACCGAAATTTTTTTTAAATTCAAACATTTTTCAAAAAAAAAAAACACTATATCCCCAAGCGAGAGGGGGGTTCCAAAATCCTCAAAAAGTCGATCGCGTGATTAATGAACGTTCCTAAACTACTAATTGCTCCGATTCACAAAACATTCAGTCGAGTCAATAAAAGTTTTTTTTTTTTAAAGAAAGTCCTCAGAAACATCCCTGTTTTTTCTTTTAATATTGTTTTTTGATATTCAAAATGGAAACATTTTAGAAGACGGGTATAATTTTTTCAATTGTTAATGAAATATGAAATTTTTAACCTGCACAGGAAATTTTCAAGAAGTAATTAAATTATTAATAACAACTCCTCTTATAATAGTTATACTTAACAAATATAAATAACATACATATTGTTTAAATAGCAAAAATTATTCCACTCTTTTGCAACGTTCATAATTTTGAATATCAAATTTTTTAAAAAAAATTTGAGGATCATCAACAAAATCTGAGGACTTCTCAATAACTCAGCTAATAATTCCCTGTGACAATAACGCTTGGCAATTTTTAATAATAAATAGTCTATCAAAAGGCAGCATTCAGCAGATTCATATAACCACTTTAATGCCCTGAAAAATCATTACAATTTACAAGTTTATATCCGTTAACAATACACGAAGCACTAAATTATCATTTATTTGTCAGTTGCAAGTGGCTGCAGCCGGAGGTGGTATGTCTATAGTTGTGCTTTCGTTCCCAAAAATAATCCTAACACGTTTCGCCGGGGGCGAGAACTCCAATTCATTTCTGTATAAATGTTTCAGACGTTTCTCTCTACGTCTGTCTTTTGATTTGTGCCTCTTTTTCCTATGAGAATTGTACCTAATATAATCTACTAAACCATCGTTATCTACGCCTTCGACACGTAAGACTTCGTATTCTGGTTCGTAACTGTCTTCACTAAGACTTGTACCAGATTCGATGACTTCATCAAGTACCGGACTACGTTTTTTCTTAAGGGTTAACTTTAAAGGTGCTATTTTTTCTGGGGTTTTCTCGAGTACGTACATACGTTCTGATACGTCTTGTAACCGTATTTGGCAGGATTCCTCGGGTACTTTGTTTTCCCAGGAAGAACTGCTTTCGCTTTTGGAATCTGTGCTGCACTTGGAAAACCCACGAACGTTTGTGAATTCTTTTAAAGAGTTGTTTTCGTTATCATTGAACTCGTAAACATCATTAGAATTTTCTAACACTAATTTTGTGTTGGAATTTCTTAACGTTGCGGTCCTGGTTGTAGGTTTGGTTTCAACATTTGTATTAACTATATTTAATTTAGCGTCTTTTTCGGACGACTCTGATTTTGTTCTAGTATTGCCGTTGCATTTAGCTTTAGACTTGGTTTCTAATACTTCATTCATAATTTTACCATCGGTTTTACTATCAGGTTTTGGCTCCTTTAACCCGTTAACTTCTAAATTGCTATCTATACTAGGACCTAACAGTTTATTGCTATTAACTTTATCTTTTATTAAATTATCTAAATTACTTTCAGTAAGTCTTTTGTGATTTCTCAAAGTTATGCCTTGTGTCATTATATCATTGCACACGTTACTACTTTCATGACTTTCATTAAAAGCAATATCCCTATTTATGCCATCGCTGACAATATCATGATCACTCATAACGCTCCCGGAGCAACTACTAGCATCATCCAACAAACCACCTTGTGTTGGTTTCGAAGAACTCAATCGCATAGCTTTTAAGACTTCTCTTCGTTGCAACCGTGTAGCTCTAGAACTACAATTGTTTTCGTTGGGTTCTAATTTAGTTTCCACGGGTAACGAAGGTGGTTTATGTCTATTGTTTCTAGTGTTTCTAGTATTTTTATCCGTGGAGGATGCTGATGATTCTCTACTACTAGCACCAGCAGCGTCCACGTTATCTTTTGTACCATTGACGTCAGAAAATTTACAACCCTGAGCAATTAACAACTCCGCATCATATTTAGTCAAACCTTTTCTGCGGAGCTCTTTCATGCTCAAAGGGGTGACCGGAGCTACGATTTTATCACTTGCGGGCTTAGTTTCAGTTACAGAATTTTTTTGTTTGCTTTTAGTTCTATTAATCCTGTTATCAGTATCCCTAAGACGGTAACCCGAAATTTGTTCCTCGGTTTTCGATTTGGTAAAAGCGCCCGTTCCGCGTCGCTCGCACGTCTCGCACTCGCAATAATAGTTTCCGTCCCCGAAAAAATCTTCGCCGTAAAAACAAGTTATCTCTTCACCTACTTCGATGTCCCTAAGAACTTTAACACAGGCCGTATCGCGACCAGTGGCCACGAATTTGCAATTCGCTCTGCAATCGTGGTTTATATACGCGGCCGGACCGAGCCACAATTGGGCACAATTCTTACGACAACTGTACATTACGGAAAAATCATTTTTACCAGGAGATAACAAGGCTGCTTCCTCTTCTTCGGTCAGTTCAGCTATGCAACCTACGAGGCATTCGATTTTTTCGTTCTTGTACCATTTGCGAGTGGCGGATATCTTGGCTCCTTTTTGTCCTTCCAGGGAATATCGGTAGCAGGGCTCTATTACAAAACCGGACTCGCTATCGAAAACTCTCAGGTAACGGTAAACCTAAAAAAGACAAATTGAAAACTTATAACTAGCTGTAAGTGGAATTCTGTCTTAAGGCAATTAAGGCATCGTGCCTTAAGGCAAATTGCTGGAACTTCCCGTACCAAAAATTATTATTTTTTTAAAAACGATTAACATTTTTGAACAAATTTTACTTCGAAAAAATAAGATTTTTGAGAAACTATAGATTGGACAAAAAATTACTTTTTTTTGAAATTTTTTTTAAAAAAAAAAAATAATAAATTTTTTTTTTTTTTGAAAAAAATATTTTTTTTCTTTATCTTGACATATTGTGAAAGATCTGAACTTTTCTTCAAAGCAATCGTACTGCTTTAACTGCATAGGGACAAAATATAAAGCGCGTAAGCGCCGCGTCGCTGTCTAACGCTTAAGCATTGGTACGGAACCCATAGGAATGTTAACAAAATGTATACTTATTGTTAAAATCTCTATAAAATATCTGATAATTTGATGTGCATATGTCTAATGATCATTTTTGACCGCCAAATGGCTCATTTTTTTACTTTTTCCTCCATATCTCCGAAACCGCTAGACCTACCTTCATGAAAATTTTATCGATTCTTCATCTTGTCAATACAAGTGAAATGTTTTTTGAATTATTCAAATCGGATGCTCCGTTCTCTTAAAAACTGAGTTACCGTTTTCGGCACTTTTTGCCCCGTATCTTCGGGACGGCTAGACCTGCCTTCGCCAAAAACTAATCAGCACGTCTCCTTATCAATACGAATCGAATGTTTTTTGAATTATTCAAATCGGTTGATCCGTGTTCCCGAAATCGTCGACGAAAATTTGTATCCGCACATACATACACACACGCACATACATACATACATACATACACACACACACACACACACATACATCCATTTTTTCTAAGGTATGCCAAAATGTTCAGAAACCTCTGAAACGTAAAGATATATAAAAATTTTCATTTTCGATTTTTTTGCGATTACTATAACTTGCCCCACGGGAAGTTAATTAGACATATTGACATTAAAAAAACTCTCAGGTAACGGTAAACCTGACAAATATATATAGAAATAAAATTTAAAAAAAATAATTAGACATATTGACATTAAATAAAATCTATCTCTATCTATCGAAAACTCTCAGGTAACTGTAAACCTGACATAAATATGAAACTAGTGGTGCATGGCATCGTGCCTGAAAGCAAATTGCTGGAACTTCGCGTACCAAATTGAAATTTTGAAAATCTTATCATTTTCGATATTAAAATAGCATTTTTTTTCGAAGTATAAAACAAATTTAAGGGGGTCTTCCTATGTGACGGCCTGTTTTTTAGGGATATTTTAGATTTTTTTTTCTACGACCAGTAAATAGTTAGAGCTTCAAGTTTTTTATCATTTATTAATACATATTTGGACAGTATAAATATAAAATTTCAGCTAAAAAAATTTAGTCCAACTAGAGTTACAGCGCTCTAAACACCCCCCCCTCAAAAAAAAGAGCTCCCACTGTCTCCACGATTCCGGCTGATCGGCTTATCTGACCAAAAAAAAATAAACGACGTTTTAATTTGTAGGCTTAAAAGCACGGGATGAACTACAATCAAATGAATACAAAAAAATTGGATGTTTTATAGACATTTGAAATAAAAGTTGCAAATTAGGCGTTTTTTTTTTGTTCTTTTGCTATAAAAAATCGAAGTTTTGAAATTTTTGATTGATAATAGTTCATTCCATGCGTTTAAATATATTGAATGTGCCCTGTAAATTTCAAGTAATTCGGTCCAGCCGTTTCTGAGATACACACACACAGTTTTGAGAAAAACGCGTTTAAAGATAAAATGATCGTTGTACTATATACTATATACATACTTTTTAAATGGCTGTAACTCAAAAACTATTTGAGATATCGATTTGAAATTTTAATATGTTATTTTTAAAGGTATAATCTACCGAAATATGAAATAAAAAAAAATTCAATTTTTTCAACTCATCACATAGGAAGACCCCCTTAAATAAAAAAAATCCCAAAAACATTAGTTTCGTCAACACAAGCAGATTTTTTTTGCATTATTCAAATCAAATGCTTATTTCTCTCAAAAAAACTGCCATTTTTTGCACATTTAGCTCGGTACCCACCTTTCCAAAAAATTAATCGCCCTTCTCCCAATCATTACAAATCGAGTGTTTTTTGGATCATTCAAATCGTATGATCAGTTCTCTCAAAAACTCGTTTTCTATTTTTCGCCTTTTTTGCTCTGTAACTCCAAAACGGCTAAACCTACCTTTGCGAAAAACTAATCAGCACATTTCCCTATCAATAGGAATCGAATGTTTTTTGGATGATTACAATAACATTCCCTATGGAAAGTTAACAAATAAAATTGAAAACATAATATCCATCAGTATTGTTTTTTTAAAAAAAAAAACAGAAAAACCGGATGATGGAAAGTATCTAGTTCCGAAACGTCTTCATCATAAATAAACATCTAGAAAAATCTTATTGTTTTTTATTTATTGGATTAATTATGTTTGGAAAAGCAACAAATCAATGTATTGAAAAATCCAGAGTTCATTTATTATATATATATATATATATATATATATATATATACATGTGTGTGTGCGTGTGTATGTGTTTATGTGTGTGTGTGTGCTTCGAAATTATTGTTAATTGTTAAAAAAATGTTCTTCAAATGTTAGCTGCCAAATTGTCGAATTAAAATAACAAATAATTCCACTATTTTTTATGTACGTTTCGACACTGAATGTGTGCCATCATTCAGCAAGTTCTACAATGTTTAACTTCTATTAGGGTAAGTTATAGTAATCGCAAAAAATCGATTTTTTCTATCTTCACGTTTCAAAGGTTTCTGAACATTTTGACATTCCTTAGAAAAAATTGTTTGTGTTTGTGTGTGTGTGTATGTGTGTGCGGATACCATTTTTTGTCCACTATTTCGTGAACACGGATTAACCGATTTGAATAATTCAAAAAACATTCGATTTGTATTGATGGGGAGACGTGCTGATTAGTTTTTGGCAAAGGCAGGTCCAGCCGTTTCGGAGATACGGGTCAAATAGTGACAAAATAGAAATCAAGTTTTTGGGTGAACGGAGCATCTGATTTGAATGATTCAAAAATATTTTATTTGCATTAATAAAATGAAGGACTTATTTAATTTTTGGGAAGGCGGGTCTAGTGGTTTCGGAGATCTAGTAAAAAAAAGTAGAAATAATGCCAATTGGCGGTCAAAAATGATCATTAGACATATGCACATCAAATTATCAGAAATTTTATAGAGACTTTAAAAATAGGTATAAATTTTGTTTACATTTGTATTCGTACCAATTTTTATCCGCTAGACTGCGACGCGGCGCTTACGCGCTTCGACATTTTTTCTTTAAAACATCTACCCAGGCACAATTGCTTTGGAAAAAAGTTCAAAATATAAAAAATATTCTAGATTTAAAAAAAAATCTCAAAAAATGTTCAAAAAAATTTAAAGCTTTCTTAAAAATTTTAATTTTTGGTATGGGAAGTTCAAGCAATTTGCCTTAAGGCATGATAGTTTTTACAAGTTTCATTAAAAATACTAAAGTATAGCAAATTCATATACATCATCATTTTTTATGTTTTTGTTTCAAATTTTAGACCTTGTGGTTAATTACTTAATTTTATTACTAGTTGTTATATTAATTTTATTAAATAATGAATAATTATATCTATATATTATATATATATATATATATATATATATATTCATTCATCATTTATCATTTATCACCCACATGCTCTTTAAGTCTCCCCTGCACCATTTTATTCTTCGACATCATCGATCTAGGAATCCATTCGCCCTTCATAATGCTGGTGTATGCCTTTTCATAATTCTGCGTTTTGATAAAATCAGCAACAATATTTCTCAGTTCCTCTTGATTGGTTTTGAGTGGTCGATATTTGATGTTCATCTTGTGCGTGGTGAAACCCAAATGGGGATCCAGCACGACTGAAGTGGCTAGATCATCATTTTCGGAGAGTTCTTTCGGTGTCATGCCTGCAGGCACCATTTTGTTGTAAGAACAGTGACGGGAGTTCGACTCTACCACCATCCTGGAAAAACTAGAAAAGAAACAGATAAATGATAAATGATAAATGAAATAAGACAAATGTAAATGAATTATTTAAATATCTTAAAGAACAAATACATGTATTAAAAATGGTAATGTGTTAAGTAATAGTATCAATAATGTTGCAAATATATATTTGTTTAAGGTCAACTTGAAGTCATTGTATATTCAAATTTGTTATTAGTATTCATATTAATTCAATATGATTAATATAATATATATAAATATAATAAATTATGAAGAGACTTTGCAATAAAACTAACCTCAAAATAAATCCACTTTTATTTATTTATAATATTTATATATCAGGTACCTAGCTTTCATTTCTCCAAAACTTCTTATATATTTTTGAATGATATATCAATATTTTTATCTATTAACAATATATATACAATAGATAAAAATATACTGAAGAAATTCTTGTACTTTGTGTTTATTGCCAATTAGATTTTCATTTAATAAAACACAACAAATAGAAGTCAAACACTTTGTTTATATAAAGTATCTTGCACAAAATTTATTGAATATTTAAAAAAATGCTAGGTATGAATATATACAAAAATTTAGCTTGTCCAGACTTATTTTTCCTCACAAAATACAAATATTGTGTTTATAAATTAATAAATTTCTGATTCAAAATGCTTACATCAAGGTTGGGTCCCAATTCACCACTGCTTGTGTCAAACACGATATTCGACAAAATCCATTTTAACTTCTTTTTACCACTTTTAAACAATATTCCTATTACAAAACTCCAAAACACATTCCATTAAAACGTGTTTACATTTATTAAACTTGTCTAAAAAGTCTGAAAGTGTTCGAAACAATCGATCAATGGCAGAAACATGATTGCCTAAACACTATCCAAAATGTCATTAAATTCACACAAATTATCCAAACAAATTTACCCGAAACATATGAATATTACCCTTTATTTTTATCTCAAAATATCACATATCTACATTAAATAATCGCGTTGAAACTTAAAAATCACTCATGTTAAACATCTTTACAAAGGATGAAAGACGCTCAAATCCCAATCATGGCAGATCCGAAAACAAGTTATTATTTTTTTATTTTGATATACTAAGAGATAATAATTATTATTTTGAACGCATTTATAACTTTATAACAACTGCAGAAGTCGTAATAGTTATAGATTAATGAATTTTATGAATAAATATAATATCTAAATGACAGCGCACTCTTTTTTACGTCGGAAGGTATTTGGCTACGATGAAGGCGTCTGGCGGCAAAATTGAAAAATTTAAAATAGTAAACGATAAATGAAATAAGATGATAAACACATTTGGATAAATCTAAATATGAAACTACACAAATACTTAAAAATCAAAAACCCTGAGTAATTGGTGTTTTATTAAAATTTTGTGTATTAAAATTTTGAATATATTTAGTTGAAACGCAGACTTGTGTATT